GTCGCACTGCCCGGCCCCACCGCACGTGGCTGTGCCACAGGGTCACAGTCCTGGGGGGCAGGAGGGGGGTTGGACTCTGCCTCCACCAGGCCCCTGCTTTAGAAGCACAGAATGAACCCCAGCCTGGGTTGGGTTGGAAAGGACCTTAAGACCATCCAGTTCCAACCCCTGCCTTTCCAGGGACTCGTGGTGCAGGCAAAGCTCCTTCCTTGCCCCGTAATCCTTCCACTCCAACCAGTGAGAAAACGAAACAACACTGCAAAAACATCCCCAGGCAGGAAAATCTAACCCAGGGCACCATCAGTGACAGCATTCCCAGGAAACTCCACTGCCAACGCTGCAACGGCAACACCTGCGTTGATCTCTCCAGCCATTTAGGCAAGAGGAATGTTTAATCCCCCGGGAAGCACGCTGTGGTGACTAAAACACTGGGGCTTTAATTAATACCCACCTATTAAGTACCATTTTCTCCTAGATTTAATTCCAGGTACCACTGCCACTGAGTTTCTCAGGGCACCCAGTGGTGCCCTGCTCCTTTCTGCCCCAGGCCCAGGGCAAACAGGGGGATTTCATCCTGCTGCAGCAGCCTGGTGGGAATTCATCTCAACCTCGAGGAGGGAGAGGTGGGTGCACTGCAGGGAGCCCAAAACAGAGCTGGCAGCACGGGCTTGCCCCATCCCAGCATGGTTCATCTGCTCTGGGATGAGTTTAGCACATGTCCCAAAGCCAAGGACCTGCCCCAAATCCTGGGGTGGGAGGAATGCATCTCCCTTCCCCAAAAAACTTCCCAGCTCCACATCGGCTTTACCCTCACCCTTCCTCCTCCCCTGCAAAAGTGACAGGTTCAAATGCTTTGCCTTGAATATAGCTTTAAAATGGGATGTCCCCAACCAAATAGGTGTTCCCCCTTAGGCTGCCTCTTCTACCTCCAACACAGGCTGCGGCTGCTGCTGGAGGGACTGTCTTTGGTGCCAGGATGAAATCTGGGCCTAATTAGTAAAGAGCTTGGGACAATTCTGTGGTTTATTTCCTTCCAGTGCAAATTAATGAATCCTGGCCCAAACTCATCAGGTTATTGGTGTCTCTCCCCAAAACCCACCCTGCAAAGGCAGGTGCTCCCCGTGCTCGATGGGCACATCAGGGTGGGACACATCAGTTTCTAACTAATGCTTTGTCTTTCCGGACCATCTCTCATGTCTGCCAGGATCAGCTGTCTCCCAGTCCAGTGCCACAACCTGCTCCCACCTACCTTGGCCCTAACACCCCCACTGTACCCAAAAAGCATCATCCAAGAGGAACCTGAGCAACGACAAACTGATTACACCTCCGTGTCACAACAGCACCGCGCAAGAAAACAAACGCAGCTCCCCTCCCTCCTGCAGCACCCCAATCTTCTCTTGATCTGAATTCCAGCCTAGGAGTGGAAAGACAAGTTGCTCCAGAAGAAAAGCCCAGGTTTGAGCCATTTGTCCTTTCCTAACCCATCACACCTGCCCATCAGTAGACAGGTCTAAGATCCAGCCATTGGAATGTAATTAAAGACAGCTGAGCCTAATTGCAACACAGCTGCTGGAGCTCAAGGGGACCAACAGCAGCAGGACTCCTGTTGCATCCTATTGAACAGCACCAGGGAGGTTGAATTCACTTCTTGCAGACCCCAGACCAGGCACGCTGCAGCCTTGGGGAGACAGGTCCTGCTCCAGCCTTTCTCTCCACAGACCCCAGCACGACACTCACCATCAGCGCTGGAGCCCCTGCCAGGTTCCCTCCGATGGCTGTGAAGTTGAAGGGAGAGACGGCTGCCACGAAAGCGGGTGGGACAGGAGAGGGACCGGGGAGACCCAGGAGCCTCCTCACTGCGGTGTGACACCGCAGCCTGGCTACTGACGCGGAGCTGCAGCAGCAGGGGCCAGCTCCTCACCTCCAGCCCCCGGTAGACCATGCTGTTGGTGCTGATGTCCACGCTGATGGGTTGGCTCTTCTCCAGCTCCAGGGCGTACTTGGCATTGAATCGGAAGAAGTCGATCAGCTCGGCGGCAGCATCGATTTCCGCCTGGATCACTGTCTTACCCTGTTGTGTCAGACAAAGGCACTGAGAGGAGGCAGAGGGGAGCGCTGCAGTGGTGCAGCTCACACAGACCATGTGCTTGCCTCTGAAAGACGTGGTCTCCTGCAAGCCCCCTCTGCGCTGAGCAGAGGCAAACGCCACCCATGTGGCTGTGACTGGGGACATCACGTCCACTCGTGTTCCCCCACTGTCCTTTAGTGCCTCTCCTGCGGCAGCGAGGGCCTTTTGCAAGGGTACACCCTGATAACTGCAGCCCACCACGAGCTGATCCTGCCCCCATGAAGCCCAACTCCCAGCTTCACCTCCCTTCCTTGTCAGCAGAGAGGCCGCAGTCAGCCTGTAATCCCTTCACAGCACAACTATAGGTGCTTCTAAACAGAC